TAGGTGAGTCTGGCGATTTGGATCGCCCGATTTCGCGTGTCGCAAGCCCCGTCTGCTCCCAGGATGGACATTCCCAGGAAAACAACCATGGCGCCCTGCCTACGGAGCTGCCCAAGGTATCCTTTGAGGAGTTGGCCGTTAGTTATCGTCAGAATCAACATAATCAGAGTCGTCGGAAGTCATTGGAGCACCGTCTCCATGCCCTCAAGGTTTCAATGGGGATTTCGGCGCGCTTCGTCCGCGTCAGCTCAATCGTCCAACGAGGCTTGGTCGACCGCCTCAAACACGATGACAAGCCCACTTTTGTTGCTCTCTATCATACCCTGGTAGACCTCCAGGAATCGTGCGATTCCGCTTTCCGGCGCAACTTCCACCGGCAGGATCCGTTGGAAGAATGGTCGCCCATCCGCGAGTCCTCCGTGGACCGTTCCCCGGACTTTTTCCTTCAGTTGAGTCCCCAATCTAGGTCCGATCTTTTGGAAATTCTACATCTGGCCCGTACCGATCCTCAATTTATCTTGGAGAGGATAAGAGCCTTGACTCCTAGCCAACTGACGGCCTTGGTATCATCTGCGGGCGCTTCGGGCGATCCCAGTGAGATGTCATTCCCACCACCTGCATCCCGTTCCCGGACCCATGCTTCCTTTTCAAAGCGCTCCTCTGCCTCTTCCCTTAAAGATCGCGCCTTGACTTTTGAACGCACGGATGCCCTGTCTACTCTGCTGTTCAACGTTTATGCGTCCCCATTGGATTCAGATGCCCCGGAAGCACAACTCCGCTTGGATGTTTGGTCGTCTGTCTTGGCAAAACTTGTAGCCGATGGCGGCATCAAGTACGATCCCCTTCTCGGCCACATTCTAGGTGCCTGGGCCACAAACAGTGAATGGAAAGCGAAGCCCAAATTTGAGCTCTATCTCATGGATATCCTGCAAACCGGCGCATTTCTCCTGGAACATGTAGAAACCCCCCCTGGCATGAGTTTTGGTACAGAGCCTCCCGACCCCTTGAAGACCGATGTGGCCGAGGAGTTCT